TGTGTGCAAAAAGTGCATCAGATTTTTAACATATAATGTGGACTTGGAGGATTATGGCCATCAGTGTATTCCCTTGAGTTATATACTTTCTAGCTAATATTTTTGCTTAGGTATGCTAAGGTACTTTCCAGTATCTAGTATGAACTTGAAATTTAGCAATAGAATATCATGAAGCTATGACTTCTTTTTGTTATTGATGCTCTGACCAGTGTTCCCTGGAGGTGCCAGTGCGAGTGAGGGTGTCGGTGTCCAGATTTGGGTGCAGATGCCCAATCCGGCGAACTCTAGAAAATAGGATTTGGGGTTTGTCTAATATAGTAATTATTATTATTGTTAATTAGAAAAGAAAATAAATTCATTTACACAATCTTGTGTGCAATCTTTTATTATCGTGTCACGTTTAACTAATCCATATGGGCAAATGCATCACAAGTTTAAAAAGGAGAGAAAAAAGAACAGGAGAGGGAATAAAGAAAGATATATGCTATTGGGTTGCCTTTTACAGGCCTACTCAGTCCACCTAAACAAATCTTGCCCTAACCTTCACTAGGCCTACGCAGGGACACATCTAGTAGCTGCCACCGCTCCCTCCTCTTATTGCCAAGACTACATCTCTGATCTCTTGTGCCCATCGCAGAGCTGCTGCCGCCATCCCCTTGCATCTGGGACTTGAAAATTGATTGCCCCTGCCGTTCTCATCTTCAATGGTGCTCTTAATTTCCCTAGGAATGAGATGTTGCTAACTTAACGGACTGGAAGGGCAAGGCTGAGGACCTGCGGTTCTTATCATCTTTAACGCTGTCTGACTCTTCAGCCCTTCTCCACTTTTCATCCTCCGTGCTCAGTGGTTGGCCATCCTCCAAAGAAACCTGTTTGCCTCCGGTACTGCTCTGGCGTGTCTGATACGTGTTGCCCTGTGTCGAGCATGAATTGACACTGCAAAATTTCTTTGGGTGAGTTCTTGAAGCTACCACATGCTAAGGTGGCATTAGCATGTATTGAAGTTACCACATACTTTCCAGGTAGTGATTGTTTTGTTCACTTTTTGTGTGATATTATGTGATTTTACTTGTTGATACTTCTTTCTCAAGGAAATGAGTTATAAGCTAAGAGGCAATATTCAAGTGATTGTGAAACTTAAATTGGAGATGCAATTTTGTGAAAATAGTGTGCAGTTATTTCTAGTTTTCCTCTTTTAGTTCTTATACTACTGCTGACAAGTATTTCATGGTGTTCTTATTTAATTTCAGGGTTTGAAGTCGTCCAAATTGACATGCCAAAAGTTTAAGATTGCAGTTTCTCAGCTGCTCTAGTATGAAATAGAGAGAGAACTCAAGTTATTTTAGCTGAACTTGCAATTCTGTTACTCAAAAAGAAAAGTCTCAATTTTGAACTCCTATATATGATGTGGTACTTTTACTTGGTTGAACAAGACAATGATAAATGTTAGGGTGTGTTTGGTTGAGCTGTGGCTGTGGGAAAGAGCTGTTGTGGGCTGTGAGCTGTGGGAAAGCTGCTGTGGGCTGTAGAAAAACTAAAAGCTGTTTGATTAAACAAGTATAAAATATACCTTCTATCTTTATCTCTCTTGAAACAACTATAGAAGAGCTTTTTATTTCACAAATTTTGAAAAGTAGAAAGTCAAAAGCCCCTTGAGCCAAAAGCCAAAGCCAAAAGCCCAACCGAACGCGGACCCTTAGTTGATCATGCCCTGCTTACATCGTTTGGATGATCGCTGCATTGAATGATCTGGTCCGGAAGTTCTGTATGGACTTGTGGACTTGTGTTTGTATCCAGGGAAATTTTGTCCATACCATAGTGCCCTGCCTACATCTTTTGGATGATCGCTGCATTGAATGATCTGGTCCGGAAGTTCTCTTTATCCAGGGAAATTTTGTCCATATTGTGGTATCTGAATGGCGAGGCTGTCGTACAGATATTTTTAAAGACGTTATCTGCCGTTCTTGATGTAATGTGCATCTTACAAAGTTGAATTGGTGGTTAGTACCAAACAACTCTTACAGGAACCAAGAGCCCTTAAGTCAGGGCTTTTATTTTTTCTAATACTTGAAGGCTCCTCTACTTTTGAGAGCCATTTTTCTTGGTTCAACGCCATCAAGGATTCTAAATCAGGGTCTCTACTTTCTTATGGCATGTGGAATATGTTCATCATTTACATATCGTTTTCCCTTTTTTTCCCCTTCCACATCTCATTGATCGGGCGTGGGTGTGGCAGTGGCCGGAGCTTGTGGATGTTCTAGAGCTAGCCATCTAGGGATGGCATGGTTGAGGCCAACCGAGATTGAGCTCGGGAAAGAACAGAGGTGGAGGTCGGCTGGAGTAGGGAGGAGACGACCGAAGGTAGGGTTTTGTCTAGGCACCCAAATCCGGGGAGAAAAAAGGGGAGGTTGCGTGTGAGATTGGGGAGCTGATCCGGCGAATGAGCAGGGCAGAGCCGGTGGCGGTGGCACAGCGCATGGTGAGAAAAACGTTGGAAACTGGAAAGTGAAGGCCTTGGGTTTTATTGTCATGGGTAGTGTTACCAAGGTTGACACATAAGCTTTTCTAAGTTAAAACTTTTTAAGTTTAATCAAATTAAGTTTAAAAGAGTATAAATATTTATATCGTAAATAAACATATTACTTTTTTATCGACATGTGGCTTCAATAATAGCATAGTTGCTTCAGCAATAGCTTTCCATAGTCTTCTAAAGCATAAATAAGCAAACACCGGCTCAGAACCGACATATCTTAAGGGCTTTATAGATCATTCTCATCCTAATATGATGGGACATCATCATATGGAAGGAACGAAATCTGAGGTGTTTTTCTTCTTTTATTTCTTGTCAGTACTCACTTTTTAGTTTTGTACCTTCTTTTTTGGCCTAGGCCTCTAAATATATCAATACAAAACAGGCTAAACTCCTACGTACAAGCTTTATGTTAAAAAAAATACACTAGACCGAAAATAGAAATGCACATATTTCTTGGTCAACGTTGCGAAGATGAACAGGCCGTTGCATGGTGTGTCCCCATAATCAGATTGGAGACAGCTTTGCAAGGTCGACACCTGATTGTCGTAGGATTATTTATTTGAAAGAAAGGACAAGGACAATGTACTTACAGTGGCATTTGTTTTCCGTTTCCATGGTGTTCCGATTGACTCTAGAAGCATGGAATGAAAAGATTATTTAAATGCTTAAGTAAATATTTAGAGTTCCATTCCATCTCGTGGAATGCGCACACATTCCCAGATTACCTGCCTCCTGCCGTCCCGTGTGTCCTCTCCAGCAAATCTTCCGCCACCTTGTTTAGATGCCATTCAAATTTTAAGTTTTTTCACTCTCTTCCAATACATCAATTTTTAGCTGCTTGCATAAAGTATTAAATGTAGATAAAAAAAAATAACTAATTACACAATTTAGTTGGAAATCACGAGATGAATCTTTTGAGCCTAGTTAGTCCATGATAGGACAATATTTGTCAAATAAGACGAAAATAGTACTATTTATCGGGTTCACTTTTTTTGCAAAGTGAACGAGGCCTTCATACAAATGTCACACAACAGCTCACGAGTAGCAGCTGATGCTGACTTGTGCTGAGATCCAAACTACACATCTCACTTTTCAAAGAATCTATCAATTTCAAATTATTCTAAATTTGTAAAAATAGTAATAATATATTTTTAAATAGATTTGCTATAAAAATATGTTACATGATCAATCAATCTAATAAATATTAAAGTATTATATATATATATTTTTGTTACACTTGAGTCACACACAATATTAAAATATTTTTTTATATAATCGCCATGGTGTTCTGAATGATATCCCTCGCGCTGCTCCTAGGCACTTGAACTGGTAGCGGCAGCAGTAGCCGGTAGCACGCTGCCTTTGAATGATTGCTATGGCTTATGCGTCTTCTGTTCGTTTGGTTTATAAGCTGTATTTTTCAATTAATAAATAATATTTTTCTTTTATAATAAATTAGTTAACAGTACTTTCAGTTATAGTTTATTATCATCCAACCGAACAAGGTCTATGGACGAGGACGACGATGGCGTCAAGGCTGGTGAGGCGTCACCATGTTTGACCTCGGGGAAGTTTCCGAAACAAGCCTAAACAAATGGCGAAGTTGAGGTCTTATTTAGATTGTAAGTTTTTTCATTCTCTCTTCATTACATCAAATCTTTGATATATGTATAGAGTATTAAATTTAGATAAAAAAATAACTAATTACACAGTTTGATTGTAAATTACGAGACGAATCTTTTGAGCCTAGTTAGGCCATGATTGGACAATAATTATCAAATACAAACGAAAGTGCTACAGTGTCAAATACTGATTCTAACCCCAATCTAAACAAAGGCCTGAATGTGTGACTGCGATTTCATTATTATCAGACAAAACAGAGGTAGGAATACACAGGGCGCGTTTAGTTGGTGAAATTTTTTGGTTTTGACTACGGTAGTATTTTCGTTTGTATTTTACAATGAGTGTCTAATTATGGACTAATTAGGTTCAAAAGTTTCGTCTCGCGATTTCTCATCCAACTATACAATTAGTTTTATTTTTTGTCTACATTTAGTACTATATATATGTGCCGTAAGATTCGATGTGATACTTTGGGGTGAAAATTTTTGTAGCTAAACAGAGCCACATGACTCCACCCTAGGAATAGTAGCAGACAGTAACATATCTTATTGGCTACAATTATTAAGTGTATTTTTCTACTAGTCTCACTCATCATCAGCAGCAGCACGTCCAGCCTGCCTTTGGCGAATACGACGACCTCGTCCAGACGGCGCCGCGCCGGGCCATCTTCCCCCTACCTCTGCCGTTTCCATCCGCGGTCCAACCACAACAACTCCTGGCCGTTTCAACCACCCGCGTGGCCGCGTCACTCGTCATCACCACCATCTTGGCTTCTTCCCATTCCCCTCGACCTGCGCACTGCACGCCTAGCTGCCTGCTTCTTTATAAGCCACCCACTGTCCGCATGCTCGTCTCCCTCTCCCGCTCAGTCTCTTGCAATCCAAGGTTCAGAGCTCTCCAGCCGTCCAGCGCAGCCATGGTTCTTCATCAAGCCGCATTCCTTGTGGCACTCGTCGCCGCCGCCTCCACTTGGTCGTCGTCGTCGGCGAGCTCCTGGACGTGGACGACGAGCGCACCCGCCGCATCGTGCTCCGGCGCGGGAACCTTCGCGGCCGACAGCGCGTTCGCGGGCAACCTCCACCGGCTGATGTCCCTCCTCGAGGCCAAGGCCCCCGCCGCCGGGGGGTTCGACATCGCCACGGTGGGCGCCGATTCCGGCGGCGGCGAGCGCGTGCACGGCCTCGCGCTGTGCCGCGGCGACGTGGCGCGCGCTGCGTGCGCGCGGTGCATCCGGTCCGCGCGGTCGCACGCGCGGCGCGTGTGCGCGCACAAGACGGACGCCGTCGTCTGGCTCGACGCCTGCACGCTCCGCTACTCCTCGGCCCCCTTCTTCGGCGAGGTCGACCGGGACCACCGCGCCTTCGCGCCCGACGTCGTCGCGCTCCGGGGCGCTGCGGCGGCGAGGTCGGCCGAGCTCGACAGCGACGTCGCCGCCCTGCTGAAGCGGCTCACCAGGACGGCGTACCTCTCGCCGCTGCTGTTCGCCGCTGGGGACGCCGTGACAACGGCGGCCGGCGGCCAGCAGCAGAGGCTGCGCGCCATGGCGCAGTGCACCAAGGACCTCTCCGGCGGGGACTGCAAGGCCTGCCTGGAGGCCGCCATTGCGCAGCTGATGGCTAGGGGGTGCGCGCCGGAGGGCGTTAGGGTGCTGGGCGGAAGCTGCAGCCTCAGATACGAGCTGTCCCCGTTCTTTGACTCCTAAGCCTCCATAGGCTTCACCTGTAATGTAATATAATATATAATCTGTAAATTTGCGGTCAAGTTTGTGCACAGTCGAGATTCCAAGGGAATCAAATCAAATACAACAAAAAGCGGGGGTGTTCGCTTTATTTCCGGTTGCTGTTCCTCGATAGCCAACTCTGCTTACAAACCAATGCCAGCCACGTTTCGAGGATCGATTTCGTTCCCAGTCTCTGTACAGTGTATTTCACCAGCGAATTATGATAGAATTGTAAATTCTTAAAGCCTAAAACATTACCAACGTATCCTGAAAATAGATGTTCAAGATTGTGATATTATTCGTCATTGAAAAATAGCAATCCGTTTAAGGGCCTCTAGTCCAACTGGTTAGAGCGTCCTGGCGGCACTCCTCAGGTTTTGGGATTGACTCCTCGTGGGAGCGAATTTTAGATTGGGGTTAAAAAATCCTTCGTCGTCCCCACGCCAAAGCATAGGTCTAAGGATCGACCTGGTCTCACAGGGCGACAGTGCCACTGTGTAAGGGTGGGACAGGGGTTCGGAGATTTTCTGGACCTATATGAGAAGGTCTTCTTCTTAATGCAATATGCTGGGGTGGTCATACCCTCACAGATCCAGTTTTGAAAAATAGCAATCTGGACCTACCTTTTCTAAGTATGTCTCCAAGTAGAGACCTATTGCGGAACCTAAACCCAAAATGGGTCTCCAACACAATACCTATAGCCTCCAACATAGTAGCTATATGGAAGACCCATTTTGGGTGCCAGGAGAGGCATAACCCAAATCTAAGTATCATTTCTCTTGGAGACCCATTTGCAGAAATGGTTGTCTTTTGGGTCTTGTTGTTAGAGAAAACAAAAAATAGATATAACCAAAGAATGATAGTCTTGTATTTTAGGTCGCGGTTATGGAGACCGCCTAAAACTAGCCGATAAAGGTCTGATGTAGAGGGTGCTAGAATGAACGCCCCAAGAAAAGAAAAAGAAACCGAATTCGTATATTTAGCGTGCAATACATAATTTGTTAAAACTACTACATCAGTACAACATACTTCAGCATTTTCTAAGTGTTCCTTTTTTTTGTTTCAAATGGGTGATGGATTTTTTTAGTCTTATCAATCTTTAATATTTAAGTCAAAGTAGATGATTTTGCCATAATTTACTTCCCACAATGCATTGTACATCTCTCTTTATTTCCTGACCTATGCTCGTAAGAGTGATTACAATGTGAATGTGCATCTAACCATGGCACAGAGTCGAATCCTAAGAGGTATCGGAACAAATGAGAAATTTCTAAGTCGCTCAGTTAACCCCGTAACAAGATGTACATTTCATTATAATGCACGAACATATTTGTTAGTTTAAACAATCTCTAAAGAAAATCAAATTAGCAACCAAAAGTCCCATCCAATGTCTCCTAGCCCAAAAAGTGCGGCCACCTAGTAGTAAATAATCATTGAGAAAGTACTCAATTAGACTAGATAACTATCCTCCATTCAAATTATCCGTCAGTATTGCAATAGAAAAGCTAAGAGAACTTATAATTTATAACAGAAAAAGTATTAGATAGAACTCCAAAACCGACCATTTAACCATCATCCATTCGCAGAAGGCGGCACTCCGAAACTGTTGAAAAGTCCAGCGGTGAAAACTTTCCATAAACACATCGGAGAAGATTATTCTTGTCACGCGCGGCTATTATGATGCGTGTAGCCACGATTGCTCCAATAGCCCATCCCGTACCCATGTCAAAGTCATAATCAGCGCGAAGGGTACCCATGACAAAGTCAAAATCAGCACGAAGGGTTCTCAGATAGTTCGGCATGTACTAGGATCGTATACCAAATTACCAATACAGTACCACGTGCACGAAAGGTATTTTCAAATGCATTATTTCTTTTTATGAAAATTTTCCAAACAAAAAACGTACTATAAAGCATATCGCTGACCTCTAAGATACGTAACTTTGAGGTCTCTAAGGGGTGAGTAGCTGTCACATCGGATGTTTGATACTAATTTGGAGTATTAAACATAGACTAATTATAAAATTAATTGTATAGATGGAAACTAATTCACGAGACAAATCTATTAAACCTTATTAGTTCATGATTTGACAAATGGAGTGCTACAGTAAATATATGCTAATAGTGGATTAATTAGGCTTAATAAATTCGTCTTGAAAATTAGTCTTCATCTGTGCAATTAGTTTTATAATTAACTCATATTTAGTCCTCCTAGTTAGCATCTAATATCCGATATGACAGGACTAAACTTTAGTCACTAAACACCCCTTAAGTTGGATCACAGGTTCTCCTAGGATAGACTGACAGTCTGACATAACCTGTGAATTCGTTGGCACACACCAAACGGTTGGCGAATTCCAGGATACACTGACTCACTGGCATAGCCTAGTAGCTCCGTCCATGGTCATCCTCCCAACCAAACACAAGCTCCGTTCCCTTCGTTGAAAAAACAAACCGAAATATTGTTCTGCCTGATTTGTTGTGAGAGGAAAACACGATTCCGACTGAAAAAACAAGCTGAAAAGTACGGATTATAAGACAAAGCGAACAAAGTCAAAATAAGCCTTTCGCTTTCTTCCTCTATATATATGAAAATCATCATCTTCCATTCCATTAAGATAAATAATAATCGATCACATAATTTCTTCCTGTACAGAGAGCATTTTTGCAACTTTTTACCACTTGGGTCCACAGATGGAGTAAACCCTTGGCCTCGTTCGGCTTGCTGAAACTTGGCTGAAAAACATTTTCTGACTGAATTGTTGTGAGAGAAAAATACTATTCTGGCTGAAAAAACAAACTGAATAGTGCAGATTATAAGATAAGCCGGACGGGGCCCGTGAAAGCCTCTAGCTGCATCTCAAGTTCTTCGATCTTGCAAGTTTATTTACTTGGACACATGGAAACTACCGACAAATTTGAGGGATCAATGAACCAGCCCATGAATCGATTCTTTGATTTTATTTTTCCTCTATATACGACCGAGGTAATGTGGAGCATGCTCCATTGATTAAACCATCAGGTAATTCCTTCCAGTCCAGCGAGGAAGTGAGCATTTCATGCCAGCAGATACAGTTCCCTAATCTCCTGTATAGTTCCCCACCACTTGACCATTACAAGTTGTTTGTCGAGTTGACAATATGGGCAGCAGTCGCCGCATTCTGTAACTTCCAAACTCAACATGCACCAAAATGCTACCATCTACCATCGCCGTGCTCCAATCTGTGCCTCTTCAGGATCTGGCAGGGAAAGATACAAGTCTCTGTTGTGTAGGATCTTGTAGACACTGATACTACACTCTACAGTTCAGATCTTCCACAACAACAACAAAAAATGTTCAATGATAGTATAATTTAATATATTCCAGACTGATGCACGTCGAAGAAATCATAGCAGTGAAAATTGACACACGTTGGGGCAACAAAGAAGTGAGCACAATAGGGTCCTTATTTAAGAAACAATGACAGAGTGGTGCACTCAATTCCTGCATTAACAATTTCAAGTCATGCATCCAATTATTCCAAGTTAGATGAACATTACATGTTGACTTAAATAGTTTAGGGCCAACCTGTTGCAATGATAATGTGCAAAGCTCAACCCAATCACTAGCAGAACTTATACACAACCATCTTTTCAAAAATGTCTGCTATTCCTTCAAAACTATGCAATGATAGCTGTAGACTTTATCTGCGATATCCGTACCATGAACCTAATGCTAGCAAGTATTTTCTAAAGTACCTTGCTTTGCATTCTTCACTAATACAGTAACATGTAAAACTAACTTCTTCAGAATCATTAACAATTGAAGCACAATAGGGTGCTTATTTTAACATAGAGTATTTTCTAAAGTACCTCCCTTTGCATTCTTTACTAATATACAGTACAATGTAAAACCCCCATTTCAGAATCATTAACAATTGATGAACAATAGGGTGCTTATTTAACAGAGTGCCTATGTCTACGCAACAAGGCACTGATGTAACATGACAGCAAGTACACATTGTATTATTTGCTTTAGCATAATGAACATCCTGATCCATCATGATGCATAAATTCCAAACAGTTCTGAACTTCCCATGGTCATAGTTTATCTTCCACGGTTCCACTAGAAAGTGTATGCATAGCTGTTGATAATTCTGGATGGTACAATCAGTCACACTAATATATGAGTATGACTTCTGCACATAGAGATCTTAAAAACTAAGCTTCGGCAGAGAACTCAAATGAACATTGTTAAGATAAATGTGAGACTCAAAATCAGCTTGGGAGATCACTTCCATCAAGTAGAGCACAGGTAAAATCATTGTCTGCAAGCTCTATTTTGTCTGCCTTCACAACAGCATCTAGTTGAAGAGGTACAAAGCTCCGACCAGGGCCATAGAAATGAGGAAAATAATTATTATCATCACTTGCCTCATAAATTAACCCATCTGCAAGCTGAGATAAACAAGAAAAAAAATAAACAACAAGCATATGAAACTCAGTAAGCAATACATAATTATTGGCACATTGAATTGACAAAGCTATATAATAGAAAACAGCAATAACATGACTTTTTCTTATCCATGTAGACAAACAAATAATTAACTTGTGTGTATGCAACCTCCCATAAAAATAAGTAGTAAACAAGAGCAGTAAAGCATTGTAGATCTACATTATACAAAAGAGGTAGTTAGGAAGTAACAAATCAACAACTGATAGGATTTAAATATACCTTGGAAGCGTCAATTTGCAGTAGGTATAGATCATTCCTTCCCAGGAAGAAGTTTTTTAAAGTCATCTTCACCTTCACCAGGTCCAAGAATTAAACAATCTTCAGTTCACTAGAAAAATTATATGAGTAACAGCATGAAAAATGAAAGGAATCACATTCAAGTAAAATCAAAAGATAAGTTGTCCAGCTTTGATTACATATAGAAATAGTAGTCAAGAATAGAAATGACAAAAAAATACGTTGAGTAAACATAATGGAATTCATGCATCTTGTAGGACCTGGAAAGACTAACATTTAAGTTTCGAACATTGTTGGCAATAAATAAACAATGTACTTAATGATGGAGTAATGATATTCAAACAATTATGTGGGATAACATCTAGAGTGCAATAATATACATATATCAGAAGTGAGCAGAGTATTTTAAGAGAATAAAATTGCATAGTTCAATGATTTCTGGTAAACCATACTTCAATTTCAATTGTTCTTTAGAATAGCACAACAAACTGCTAGATATCAGTCTCCTATAATATATCAATACAGGAGGAACTTATTATGATAAAAAAGAAAACAAATTACAAGAGTAAACAAATACAGAATGAGTTGGCAGGCCGCAGGCATATCCATTTGCAAGATTTCATCATACTATACACAAGAAATGTCTTACTGCAGTTCCAGGCTCCAGCAGGCTTACAGATAAAACCCATTATGTACTCTGCATCTTAAATAGTACATACAACATATTTAGTATTATCTTATGGTCAATTGACAGTCATCCTATATAGCATCAACCGCCAGTGCCAACTAACTATGAACACCTGGGCATATAAACAGATTTTAAAAAAAAAAGAAACATGCCCCCAAACCTCTACCCTGAGTTCTGTAACCAACAAATCCCATCAAATCAAATCAAATCAAATGGATAAATTCTAAAATAACATAGCGCAAACTAAAACTAACTGTACATCGAATGGCATCTGCAGACAACAAGGACATGCTCCAAGCCATAGATTCCAGAACTGGATTGACCTATCCCAAGTACCACACAAATCAAGAACACAAGAGCAACCCAAATCTGTTCCAGCAAACGGATAGCTCTCTACGGAATTACGGACTGTGGAAATTTTAGGCAGGGCGTAGGCCGGAAGAAATCAAGCCATATTAAGGTGGGGTTACCTTACCAGGCTTAGGTCGCTGAGATGGATGCAGCCAGTGGAGCGGTCGAGGTCGCCTCCGAGGGTGGTGCCCGTGCGCTGAAACTCCGCCCACTCGTCGGCCGTGCTGATCCGGTACACGAACGCCGGCGGTGCCGGCTTTGCCATCGCTGGTCTCTCTGCTCTCTCTTAGGAGACGACGGTCCAAAGATTCGGACGGCCCAAGCGGCCCAGCGTCTATCTTAACCGCTGTGCTTGTGGACTTTCCTATTTTCAAAAATTAAAATCATCTAATCCAAGTCAATCATCGTATAAAACTCACGCTTTGGCACCCGCAACAGCCAACCTCTCCAACGGTGTTAGTTTTTAATAACAACTCATAATATAATTAAGCTCATATAAAACTATTATTACATGATTTTGGAATATGTATATAAACCTAGCTCTTAAATCAAGAGCTAGCTTTTCTCTCTCTTGCATTAAAATATGCAAAAAATACTTATAGCTGCTTATGAGCCAACCACTACGGGTGCCCTAAGTGCTACTCCCTCTGTCCAGAAAAACATATAATTCTAGTATAGTGTCATGGTTTAATATCTCAAATTTGATTAATTATAGATAAAATAATATCAATATTTATGATATCAAATAAATATCGTTCAATTAATTATGAAATGTATTTTCTTAATAAATTAATTTGGAGTCACAAATATGAATATTATTCACTAGAAATTTTGTCAAACGTAAACTACTTTTGTTGACACGTAATCTATAGTTGTATGTTTTCTTGGACAGAGGGAGAACCTTGTAGTAAAAAAGTTCTTATATAATCTGAAATTATAATATGTCCAATATATCCATCTTCTTATATCTTATACACTTTTATTATAACACATAATATGTTAAAGCAGGAATTTCACGAGAATTTTCATGAATTAATTTATTTTTCATAGGAGAAATGCTAAGAAAAGAAAATTTGCTATGTTCCACATGAGGCTCCGTCCGGTTACCCCGGAACGGGCCGTTCTGTGCGAGGATTGGTTCTGGCATTATAGAAAGTAGTGGTGAAAATGTCTGGCCGGAAACCAATCTCATACAACCGAGCGAGGCCTAAACAGGAACAGTGGGGTTCTTGCCTTGATTGATTATCTACAATTGGCACCCTAGTTCATGCTAGGGAAAATTTTATAGGTGACAAAATGCCAATAAAACTGATAAACCCATTTATTATTGAGATCAGGTAAAATGTATTTTTGACTAAAAAAATTCTAAGGCCGTGTTTAGTTGGGCGAAATTTAGGAATTTGGCTACTGTAGCAATTTCGTTTTTATTTGGCAATTAGTGTTCAATCATGGACTAATTAGGCTCAAAATGTTCGTCTCGCGATTTCCAACCAAACTGTGTAATTAAGTGCAATTATGTGTAGCACTTTTGGGAATTTTTTTCGTGGCCTAATTCTACTAGTCCACCTATATGAAAGTGCAATATTGGCTCGTATCAATATTACTATGTGCTAGTTCTTTATGTTAAAGGCTTTAGAGGCAATTGAACTTCCAAAGAAATTGAGTTATTTTATGTTTTTATTTTGATTGAGAAATTTTCCAATAAACCCATATATCGGTGACTCTGGTATTCGACCGAACAGCTCTCGATCTTCAGTTCATGACTGGTTTGCTGAACATGAGATGCACACCAAGCTTCTTCGCACTCATTTGCTTGCTTCTCGGAATCACATGAAGGCTAAATCTGATGATAACCACATAACAAAATCATGAATGTTAAGTCGGAGATCAAGTTCTCCTGAAGCACAAACCGTATGCTCAAACTCTGATGATGATCAAATCCATACCCCAAATTGATTTCGAGTTCGTTGACCCCTTCAAGATCTTGGAGTGCATTGGTGCTGCCGCGTATAAACTGGAGTTGCCAGATGGTTCACAATGCAAGTTCACCATGTATTCCGTATCTTGTAGCTCAAGCGCTTTACTGCTAATCATTCTCCAGTTTTTGCTCAGTCGCCACCACAGGTCATTCTGGACAATCCAGCTCAGGTCCTTCAAGGACGGCTCGTCAATAAGGAAAGGAAGCTGCCTTCCTGCTCCTCGAAATTCCATTGTTGATTTTCTCTTGTTCTTGTTGTTCACACCGTTGGTTTGATCTCGCCAGCAGCTTATCTGAGATAGAACTTCTATTTTTGATTCCACTTGATCTTGCTCACGCTGTTGGTTCGATCTCTCGACAGCAGGTACAGTTGTGTTAGTGTTTACATCATGCTGAAAAAACAAGATAAAACAATATCCTGATTTGTTGTGAGAGAGAATACCTGGTGATTATGGGAGAAACTAGAAAAAAACTGAAAAGCGGATTATCCAAAGTGGAAAGTTCCGGTTCAAATGGGAGAATATCCTCGATACCTGGTGGATGGGGAGGGAAAATAATTCTAGCTCCCTTCCAAAGTCAAAGCCGGTTCAAATTCCTTGTTTGCCACGCATATCGTGTCCACACAAAATGGAACATGTTATCACATTCCATCAACAAATGACCTCAACCCAAACGACGTTTCCTAAATCTATATAGTTCTGTAAAATGGAAGGTTTTCTCGAAACGTGAAACTCCAGCATATAATTAAGGCAAGAGGGTAACAATGAGTAATAATTGACACATGCACCATCACATACTAGCGACATCGCTAGTTGACAAAGGCACATCTCTTCCTGATCTCCCCCTGGTCGCCGGTGAGCACGCCGACCCTGCCCATGTTCACCATGGACGCCCCAAAGTCCCTGAGGAACGTCGCCTCCTCCGACGACGACCCGGCGGCGTCCCTGTAGCGGTACACGAGCGCCCGCGTCTCCTCGTTCCTGAGCAGCGCCTCGTCGGAGTGGAAGAGCGCCCTCCGCTTCACGACCAGGCCGTAGTAGGCCGTGTCGAACGTCGTGGAGCTGCCCGGCACCATCTCCAGCTCCGTCGTGTTGTCCCTGCGCCTCCGGCACTGCTGCCTCAGCTTCGCGGCGTACGCGCCGTCCAGCGTCGGGTCGCTGTCGCTGTGCGCCGTGTAGTTGCGCAGACGCTTGGCGATCGACGGGCAGTGCGACTTCCCGATCGCGTGGGCACCTGGATGCATGGCACAGCACGGTTTTCAGGTCATCTCCAAGGAAACATTTTCCAAAAAAAAAATAAACATACAGTAAAGTGAACTGATTTTTTTTTTTTATACTAAGTGAACTGATTATTGAATGGCGTGCCCTTCTTCACTTTTGGGAAAAAAAACTTAAAGGACTTTTTTGAAAATAAATGTTGAGTAGCTAGTCTGCACTTTTACTACTTGTAAAAAAAAAAACCCCAACGTTTTCGGTATGATAGAAAATTTTAAGCCATTTTTGATCTTCGTCAAATCAAAAGTCAACAACTTTTAACAAGTAGATCTGACGGTACTAATATGTAATATTTTTCTATTTTTTCCTACTTTTCGTCTTCTTGAAATAAAAATGCAGTAGGGGACCACCCCTCTTGTTTGTATTTCCGTTTTTTTAGCATAATAAGCTGCATTTCCTATATTTCAATTTCAGATTCAGTGAGCAGTAGTAGTGCAAATGTGCGACGCACGTGTAGGTGGCTAGGTGCAGGTCTCTACCAGGCAAAGAAAATCAATTTCACTTAAAAAAAAGCGTACTATAAGCTGAAATGCAGTTGTACAATTTAACAAACAAAGTCCATCGAAAATACCTGAGAGAACAGCGAGATCCTTGACGCTGAGGTTCTTGGAAGCGAACCTCCTGATGAGCTTGCGGATGCCGTCCATGGAGTCCGGCAGGTTCTTGACGGCCTCCTTGGCGCTGGAGACGCGGCCGTCCCGCCTGCCGGTCTCCACCTGGTAGAGGTTGCCGTCCTTGCTCCACCCTCCCTTGGTCACCGCCTTGGTGGCCTGTTTGTTGGTTTGGACTTTGGAGTCAGCCATTGCTCTGCTTGGAGGAAGGAATTGAAGGAATGAATCAGCCATTCAGCGAGCGCACGTACCAGGGAGACGGCGTCCCTGGCGGCGATGGCGAGGATGTCGGCGCAGGAGATGGTGCCGGGGCAGCGCTTCTCCAGCGCCTCCTTGATGTCGTCGATGACGTCGAAGGCGTCCAGCGTGAGGTTGGGCTTGGCGTCCTTCTCCGCCGTGTTCCCCTTGGTGGAGTTGATGAGCACAGACCCCTCGCAGCCCTGCAGCAATGGCGATTGGCCAATGGGGAGGGTCAGGGAACCGGGAACAGGGAACAGGGAAAGGATTATCAAAGTATCACTCGATGACCAAAGTGAATCAAAGTATCACTCGATTGAGTTTGTTTGAACTGGAAACAACATCCAGCAAATTAAAGGAGACGCTTTTGAGAGATCCGCGTGTGGAATCTTTGCTTTCTGCCTCTTCTCCAGATAAAGTTTCAGAGACGCTTTTCTTTCTTTTTTTTAAAGAAAGGGAACAAAGTCTCAGTCAGGTTAGTTCGTGCACAACTACTGACTGAAAATCATTACAACCTGCATTGGATACCACTGAATCCTGAATGAAGAAAAGAAAAGGGCCGGGCACATCGCAATGAAACCATATACTACTACTCTATACTATTAGAAGAAGACAGCAATGGAAGAAGTGGAAGCGTACCCTGACGAAGCAATCGTGGAAGTGAAGCCTGAGCAGGGGCGCATTGGCCGTGGGATCCTCGTGGACGGCCCTGGCGACGACCCTGCGGACGATCGCCTCGGCGTCCGGGCACGAGTCCTTGTAGAACCCGACCCTGAGCTTATTAGCAGCGTCGCCGCCGTAGCCGTAGCCATGGGCGGCTGACGAAGCAGCCACGACCAGCAGGGGAAGCAAGAGGAGGACAGCAGGAGGAGGAAGAACCGGCCGCGCTGCCATGGCAGTGTAGCAGTAGCACAAGCGGCGCAGGCTGCTGCTGCAGGGAGAAGGAGAGAAGAAGTCGGTTGCTTATTAGCTTTGCCTCCCTGCTTTGGCGGGCTCGAGCCTCGCGCTGCAGCGCTTGATCGGGCGGCCGCGGGATGTACGTTATATAGGAGTAGACTAGAAAGCGATGGATCACTGGAGTGGTAGTGGAGTGTGGATGGATGCCATTGGCATGCCACATCGGTCCGCGAGATCTCGGGCAGCGCTGCGAGCGTCGTTTCTCCCG